AGCCTTTTTCATATCTAGCAATGCCTGTGTCACTGTAAAGACCCCTAGGTACTCGTATTAATCAATCTCTCGAAATAGAAACTGCTCAACAATTGTGACTCCTACCATTACTACGATAAGACGCATTACCAGTTGATAATATAGATTTTTTTATTCATTCATACTTTTCTTAATTACATTATAGTTATAACTAATATTATAATGAGGAAAAGTTGACAGTTTATTTTTTTACATCGAATAAGCTCCGAAACTAAGGGACCGATTTTAAAAATTCTTTCACCTATGGGTAGCTGCAGCATACGCAATTCACATAGGCTATAATTAACGCGGGTACATTCGCGTAAAAACGTAGTATAATATGAAACTGTAAAGAAACAAAAACTATTTGAAAATGAAAAGAAACAATAAATAATAGCTCGGTTAGAGACGGTGACTTAATAATTTAGTATTATTATATAAATTACTTATTAAAGTTTATAAATACTTACTACATTTTTTTAAGGGTTGTAATCGGTATCGCTCTTGTTTTTATTTTGGAATATTTAAAATTTTAACCTTTTAGTTTGATGTTTGCTGTCTTTTTCATTGGAGTGCAAATTTACTATGTATCTAAATATTAATGCAATTTTAAATGAATAAATAAATATGATATAATTCTGTAACTATGATTTGTAGTCTGTAATTGTGCAATTAAATAAATAACTAATCGTTGATTATATAACATAATACATGGCACATATCTGTGTGTTGTTATCATCGGGTAGTAAATCGTGAATCGCAATAACTAATCGTTGATTATATAACATAATACATGGCACATAGAGTTTGGCAAGCGAAACGTGACACCACCTATTTTTCCGTTTTCATATGGCAACAACATAGAACTGTCAGTTTGACACTACGTTAGACAATTCAAGAATATTGAATTTTGTTGTTTTTGCGAATTTGAACTTGTGTTTTTGGTTAAAAATTATGTCGAAGCCGATAAAAAGTTCATCGAGGAAACTTCTTTCCATCATGATTGACAAGTTTACTGAAGTGAAAACTGAATTAAATAAAAATTTCATGGAGAAATTACAACGATTAGATAAAGTTGTATCTTTTTTAGGTTAGTTTTGTATTATAATTTTGATACTTTCGTTTTAATTTTCTGTAATTAACTAAACAGATATTTTTTATAAAATATTGCTCTATTTCAGATAACTGTGATGGTGATATTCAACCAATAATGGAGGAGATAAATGCAATAAAAACTTTAGAAAAACAAGAAATGCTGAATTCGGAAACGCAGTACTTACAAAAAATTTCTTCAATGACAGGTCTCTTTTCTTGTTTTGATTTAAGATAGATTGATAGTATTCCTATAATATTTACATAGGTTTTTTATGATGTATTGGTTTTTATTGTTGACATCCAATGATGTCATAAGAATGTTTTGTTTAACAAGGAAATTCACAGAATTCATGAAACTAATCAAACCATGTAATTGTTATACATGCTAAATATGCACATAAACTTAACTAAATTAAACATAAATTGCATTCATAGTTGAATAGGTATTTAAATTATTTTGATGTATGTGTCTATCATTATTTGCTTTTAAATACATTTAACATATCTTTGTTTCAAAGTGTTTAATCTTTTATAGATGTAAGTATAAGGACACTAAGAAGGATAAAAAATGAAGCATTAATTAATAAAGGAAAATGGGACACTCCTGGGAAAAAACGACCTCATCAACCAACAGTGTCTGCTTTAGATAATTTTGATTTAAGTGCAATTCGGAATAAAGTAAATGAATTTTACTGTGTGAAAAAAATTGTTCCAACATTAAGAAGCCTTCACAATGAATTAAAAGATGCAATAGGATTCAGTGGTAGCCGTGAGACTTTACGAAAAATTATGCTTAAGAATGGATTTTCTTTTAAAAGCAATGAAAATGAACGTTCTATGCTTATAGAAAAATACCAGATTTCTGCATGGAGGCACAAGTATTTGAGAGAAATAAATATAAAACGAAACGAAGGAAAGCAAATTGTGTACCTTGATGAAACTTATGTACATCAGAATTATAAAGTTAAAAAGTCTTGGCAAGGACCTTCAACAACTGGTGTCACTACAAAGATATCCTCTGGAAAACGGCATATTGTTGTGCATGCTGGATCTGAGGAAGGTTTTGTGCCTGGTGCATTATTAGTGTTCAGTAGTAAATCCAAATCTGCTGATTATCATGATGATATGAACTCATCGAACTTTATGAAATGGGTCAGAGAAAAATTAATACCAAATTTAAGTAAGCCCAGTGTAATTGTTATGGATAATGCCAGCTACCATATAAAACAAATCAATAAACCGCCTATAATGTCTAATACCAAAGCAGATATCCGTAAATGGCTTGTAAATAATGGAATACATTTTGAGGAATATCAGACAAAGGCAGAGTTAATGTGTTTGGTTAATGATAAGAAAACATTGCCTGTATATGAAGCTGAAGAGATTTTAAAAGAACATAATCATGAACTTTTATTGCTGCCACCGTATCATTGTGACTTAAACCCAATAGAGATGGTTTGGAGTCAAGCAAAAAGAAAAATTGCAAGCAGAAACATTGGAATACCAGGAAAGGAAATGGAAAACTTAATAATAGAGTGTTTTAACTTAATTACCCCTAGTGACTGGAAGAAATACACTGATCATGTTTTAAATGTCGAAAATGATTACAAATTAAAAGATGGCATTGTTGAAAACGAACTTGAAAAATTTATTATATCTGTTGGTGCAGACAGTAGTGAAGAGAGTGACTCTGATGATTCCTTGTCATTGTTATCAGGTGTAGAATATTTAGAAACAGATTTTGACTATGAATCAGACTAAAGTATTTTTAGTCTGATTCATAGTCAAAATCTTATCTTAAATTTTCTATTGTGATTAACATGATGATTTTGTGACACCTGTATTATGTAATTTATCCATGGCACTTAATTGTAACAAAAATAAATGTTTTTTTTATTGTAATCTGGTGTTTATATTGACTAATTTAATTTGATAGATAGTGGTTCTGGATCAGAGCAAAAGGTTGTGATGAAAATCCCTTAGGAGACATGTATGTGTTATGAACACATTATAAATATAAGGGCCAGAAATCAAAATTGGCTAACATCACATTTATTAAAAAAATGTGGCCAGAGTCGCCCATATTCATTACAAAAAAACAAAGAAGTCGTTGCAAAAAACACCCTTTTAATTAATGACAAATATGAATTTTTAATATTATAAGTGCTGTTAGCCAATAGGTATAACGAATGGGTTAAAAAAAAGATTCGATTTAGTCCGTCAGTCAGATAATAGAAAAATATTGGATACGTATTTTTTTTCGCTTTAATTTAACAACAAATGGCTTAAGAGGTACTATGCGACGACTTCAAATATGCTTTGCAACAATGTTACTTTAATACAGTTTATCGATACGAAATCAAGTGTCAAAATGGAGTCCAGTGGAGAATGCCGATATTGACATTTCGAAATTGCTCATCATTGATAGAGAATACGAAATAGTGATTTTGACACAATCAAAGTGTCTATTTTTTACGGTGATGACGATTCTTGGTTGTCAGTTGAGTTAGTGAATAGGCCTACTGATATGCTGTTAACTGTACAATTAAGAACAGTCACGCTTTAGTCAAATGTTCCAAAACAAATAATTTTAATTGATATCTAAATGTTAAGATTAAATATAATTAATAAAAGTATCAAAATTATTTTGCAGTACTACATTCAGTGTTTACTGCTTAAGAATTTTTGAAATTGCCGCCCTTTTCTTGTGACACGTTTCGCTTGCCAGACTCTATCTGTGTGTTGTTATCATCGGGTAGTAAATCGTGAATCGCAATAACTAATCGTTGATTATATAACATAATACATGGCACATATCTGTGTGTTGTTATCATCGGGTAGTAAATCGTGAATCGCAATAACTAATCGTTGATTATATAACATAATACATGGCACATATCTGTGTGTTGTTATCATCGGGTAGTAAATCGTGAATCGCAATAACTAATCGTTGATTATATAACATAATACATGGCACATATCTGTGTGTTGTTATCATCGGGTAGTAAATCGTGAATCGCAATAACTAATCGTTGATTATATAACATAATACATGGCACATATCTGTGTGTTGTTATCATCGGGTAGTAAATCGTAAATCGCCGGAGTTTTATGTTGTCACAGATTAATTATTTACATACTAGGATTTACCCGCGGTTTCATCCGTGTTTGACGGTATTGCATAGAAATGGGCCATAACACGCCACACTGGCCCAGAACAGTTATGCAATCGGAATGATGCATCATCAACTACTGTCTCAATAAAGAGTGAGAAACAAACTCACTTTCCTATTTATAAAATAGTATAAAATTGGAATTCGGTGAATTCGGAAAATTTGAATAAGTGAGAATAATGCTATAAACTTTTATCTATCTATCGAATGCTTATATTTACAATACTTAACAGGCACTTTAAAATTTAAAACCTACTATAGTATTTAGAGCTATAAACATTCACATATGTTGTTTTAACCAACCAACAAAGAACAAAGTAATATTAATAAAAGTACCAACTTGTAAACCTCTTGGAAACAAAAGAGTTTTGAAACTATGTATTTCTAATCTATACAATTAAATAGTTTAAAACCAGGCCAGAATATTTGACCCGTTTCTTCAAGAAAAACTAAATTTATAATATTTTAATTCAATTGTTACATTTGAATTTCAAATTTGAATTCATGGAACTAAAACATATGATAATATATTCCAAGTATTGTGAAATAAAGTCTATTAAACAATAAGTCACATTAAAGTGACCCTAATTATTATAATTACTTTTGTATCATGAATTTAAAATTAAATTGATATTGTCTTTACGATAGTTCAGTCGATACTATGCAGTGATAAATGTAATTAAATACATAAATTTTGGATTTACAACCGAAAATATGAAAGATGTCGATAACAAACCGGTGTTGTCTTTTAATGAAATATTTTCGCTACTTGAAAAAAGTTTGGGGTTTAAAAATGAAATAAAGTGGACGAGTTTTATAGCTATCACTTTGTACCATATTATTGGAGTTTACTGGTGTTATTACTACGCTTTACCTGTAAAATGGCAGACATTGGTATTTGGTGAGTATTTTGTTATATCAATTGCTGTTATCCCAGGATTGTTAGTAAGGGAAACCAAATGTGGTCCACTCGGTTTCAATAGGGTTCGACCTTGCTTGTTGTCAATCATTTAGCTAAATGGTAGTTATAAATCAAATTTCAAACACAACCCGCGGTTGGAAACAAAGATCCCACCAAGATTACCTTTGTTGGAACGCAGGTTAACAATCATATGGAACACACTCATGTTATTTCGCATTAAACTTATGTCACACTTCATCCTGCCAACTATCTCCATTAAAAACAATCGTACTGTAAATAAATTCAAAATAAAATTAAAAACTTAAAAATCAAAGAACTTATATACAAACGTTTCACCCCATTTAACCATTCTGAGTAAACCTCTACATAAAATGACCCCCAAAATTCTGGGTTCTACTATCAACAGTTTTGGGTGTGTGTCGTTTCTAAGTAAGGGACAGAAAGGGACATTTAAAAATCCAAAACTGTTAACTGCTATTTTAAGTGTTGGATCCCTAGCAGGGTAGGCAGATAGGACTGGGCGCGTCTTGTAATGATTGTATGATAAAAGGCTTATCATTGAACGAAAGAAATAAAGATACTGGTATATGAAAGAGATGATAAATGTAAATCGTATTTCCTCAATGTAGTAGTAGCGATAAAGTAACAAGTGCTTGAAAAATTCGTCAGTCCTGTTTGGTACTGGATTTTTTAAGCGTCTTTCATTAATATTTTTTATTTCAGCCGCTATTATGTACGTAGCATCTGGATTCGGCATCACAGGCGGAGCACATCGGCTTTGGACTCACAGAGCATTTAAAGTGAATCTACCATTGAAGATATTCTTCCTTATGTGTTTCGCCAGTGCCGGTCAGGTCAGAAACTTTTTTTTTTATAAATTGCGTAACGTATACACCACCACTTTACTAAGCAACGAGATATTGTCTCTCCTCCGTAGAACCATACGCCCCTTTTCAGTTCTCGGAAACTTTTTTGCTAACGGAAGGAAAATGCATCTTAAGCCTTAAATAAGGACTCTCCTGTCCTGACCTGGCACAGCGAGGCTGGTCTACCTGTTAAATTCGCTGTTCAATACCCTCGGTAGGGGGGAAGGGTCCGGGATCCAGCAAGAAGCCTCCCAGACCGGTCCTCGGAAACCTACCTTCTAACAACTCTATTATGTACTTTCGTTATGGGGCACGACAAAAACCCTTCCAAAACGCTGTAGTATCTTTCCATCAGTATTTCTTTTTCCGGAGTCATTCGACAACTTTTTCTGTTGTGGAACTTCGTGTGGAACCCAAGGGAATTTTAGCCAGGCTAGTATATAATTGAATTACCCAGGGGACAAATATTCTCTTTGCCGAATGAAATAACGTATGACTGGTTTATTCTATGAATAAGTAGCATCTTTGTAGAGTCACTTTCACAGACCTAAAAATCTATAGATAGCGTACAAAGACATATTTTTTGTTCACAAATACATTGATTAGAATGTTAGTTTTTTTTTTCGGAATTGCTACCATGTACCTTGTTTTTGTTAAGTTCCCGATATTCCAACAAAAACAAGATTTAATTTTTGTTTTAATTATTTGTTTACACTAACAGAACTCTTTATACCAATGGGTGCGCGACCACAGAATACATCACAAGTACAGTGACACGAACGCCGACCCTCACAACGCAAACCGAGGGCTGTTCTTCTCCCACATAGGATGGCTGATGATGAAGAAGAACGAAGAAGTGATGCTGCGTGGACAACAAATCGACATGACTGACATAGAGAATGACCCAATTTTGCGGTTTTACGATAAGTAAGACAATTCATATAATATAGATTATTTGTTACACTGACGTTATTTGGAAACGGAATTTTTTAAACTATCGACAAATCAATTTTAGGGTTATTTTCTATCAGACCTTTATGAACTCAAGCATTTAAATGAAGTAAAAGAGCGCACGATGTTATCAAACCGATTCGTATGAGCTTTCACTATTTTATAGTTATGCAAGAGATTTCAGACAGCAGCACAACTCTGTTAATTTAATAAGGTTATAATAGTTAATTACAATAGGGATGACGACAGGGTAAAAAAAAGAAATTCTATTTAGTCCGTCAGTCCGGTAATAGAAAAATATTAGATATGTGTTTTTTTTACTTAAATTTAACAAGAAATAGCTTAGATAACAGACATTCAAGTTTAGGAATGGGGGCTCGCTATGTCACAGTTTTATAGAAAATAACGTCATGTTACATTTTAACTCAATGAATCGAGGTAATTTAATGATTATGCAAAAATAAAAAAATATGTGTCTCATATTTTTCAACAATTACAACCTCCGTCAGGTTGTAATTAAAGACACAATTATAACGAACCTTACAGTTATTTGTATTGCGACAATGTTCACTTAATTTTGTACAATTTAATTTACCATAAACTCTACAATGCAATTTAAATAGAAAGATTCTTTGAGTAATTATTTCCATTTTTTCTTTTCAACTAGACATTTCATCAAATTGAAATTGGTATTCTGTTACTTTCTGCCGACCGTGATCGGAATCTGGCTGTGGGGTGAGAAATGGAAGACTGCAGTGGCCTGGCAGTGCTTCATCAGGTTCCTCAGCATGTTTCATAGCGAACTTACCGTCAACAGCTTAGCACATACTTTCGGTTATAAACCATATAACAAGTAAGTTGCCTGTAATCAAATATGTGCTTTGCAAAACACGGAGTAGCTCAAATTAATAATTTTTTGATCACGACCCTTGCGAAAGTTGCTTAACAGAAACATCCGCGAGCCGCGGCCCTTATCCACTAAGCCACTCAATTTGACAATCAATTTCTTTTAAGTCTCCAACCAAACACAAAAGATATCAGATTAAATACATTATATTCTAATCATACAATACACCTATATACACTTAAGTCGTTCACTTTGTGTTTATTCACAAGCCTTACCGACGACAGAAAACGAAATTTCGTCTATTTTCGAAATGCTAATATGAATCCCAAGAAACTTATTTGCCTCTGATGCACATTCGTTCGAATTATTATTCAAAATATGTAGAATAGTGTCATGTTAATTCCAATGAGTAATACCTCTTTTCAAGAATGCCTCTAATATTATCCTTAATTATTAAAACCTTAACAATTAATGAATGATTTTTAGAGACATTGTTCCCGCTGAAAACCGTTTCGTAGCCACATGCACATTGGGGGAAGGATGGCACAACTACCACCACGCTTTCCCATTCGACTACAAAGCCGCAGAGCATTTCGACTTCTTCAACTTCGGAACGTGGTTCATCAGATTTTTCGAGAAAATCGGTTGGGCTTACGACCTTCGTGAAGCAACTCCTGAAATGATAAACTCTATAGCTAAAAGAATGGGCGATGGCACACCCATACACTTTCCGTTAAATGAAAAACACATGAATGAATGCGATGAAAAGCAAACAGGTTAATATATTTTTCGAAATTCAAAACACAGAATGTAATAAATAACATATATTGGTACGAAGAAAACGGTAGATAGCCTAATTAAAGAAGATGTGAAATTGTTAAACTTAGGAAATATAATTAAGACTAAATTTGACCATACTTTTATTTCATTTGTCACCTCAATGTTCTTTGAATATGGAATGTGATGATATTAAATATAATTTCTTTGATAATTCTATGCACAAATCTGCACTGTTGCTAAATTTTTATTTAATACTGGGGGTAACGATAAAGGATTGTGTCCCTATAAGCGCCAATAAAATGGATATTTTCAATTTATTTCTACAAAATACATAATTATTTTCAATCACAGCTTATTTGGGGATTGTTTCTATAAAACCTTTTTGTATACAATCCAAAAAAACTTAAATTGTAACCGTTAAGTAACTTTGAAGTCATGAATTAGAATTCAAATAAAGCTTTTTGACTCTGTCGGTCGAATGAATATCTCCACCACGAAGTCTAGATTCATCACCGACACTCAACAAATGCCCAAGGAGTAGCAACTTGAACGGATTTAAGAAGGAACTTCTATCGTTAGAACTTTTATTCTTTACGACCTCAGTGCTCCGACGACACCGAGGGATGTTAACTTGATTTATGCTTGGAGATTATTCTATTCATATACTTATATGCGATTTATTTGATGTTCATTAGTTTAGTTAGTAGGTTAGCTATGTGAAAATATGTACTTTTGGAATAAGATGAACACATTTTTATTGTGATCGTGATTGCTGATATTAATGCATTAATTTCATAAATACAAAAAATAAATAATCTACTTACATATTTTTATTCTATGCACTTTTATTTATGTATTTACAGATACATAAAACGAACAATAATCTAGTATCTATATAGAATATGAAAATGAAATGACGTTTGTTTGTCCCTAAAACTCGAGAATAAGTGAACCAATTTGTACCTCTAATAATTTCGTCATGAAATATTTGTAGTGTTCCGAGATAAGAAAATCGAAAAAAAATTGCTGGTATTTTTTTTTTCGTTTTTTTATCTTAATTTTTTTTTATAATTTAGCTTTTGCTATATAAATCGCTCATATTATCAGACGGGATGCGATCAGATATAAGTAGCCTTTTTTAAATTAACAAATATGATGTTTTTATTGCCATAAGCCATGTCAAAAAAGTTGAAAATTTTAGCGCCAGTCCCAGCCATCAGTAACTCGCGACACAAGACGCGATACCCGAATGTCCTTAATAGAAGTAATCTTTTCTCTTTATTTATGTCCTTAATAGAAGTTTCTTTAATTTCTTTTCCGGTTTTCCATTTTTCAGAGATTTAAACACAAAGTACAGTTCTCTTGCCCCTTGCGACTCTAGTAATATACCTATAAATATTCTAAATTATTTTTGTAGTATGACTTAAGTGAATATGTATGTTTCTACCCCAGATAGTTCCACTGCCTATAGTCTTTGAGTTGCAAATTTAGCTTTCATAGGTACCACACCTATTCACAACAATGAACTTTGTTTACCAGTTGTTTAAATATTTTAGGATTGAGGTCAAACATAGCTTAAGAGTTTAAATAAAAGTTTAACCCTAAATACCAGGTAGATGATGAAAGTTTGTTCCCCTGTGGCAATTAAACAATGTTCGCTGGGATACGTCGTACTCTGGGACTATAATATCCTTTGTTTCAACAGTAAATATAATATAAACAAAGCTTTTAGGTTTTTTAGTAGTTAGGTATGGTATAAATGTACTATATAGTAGGACTTATGAGTACGTATTTTACACAGTACTAAGTCTAGGGATAGCGTCTCTAATGAGACAACTTTTGGATGAGACTGACGCTTTTATTTAAGTACGGCTAAAACCTTATTACGGGTAAAAACTTACCTGTAAAAGCTAGCGCCTTCTATTTTACAAATCAAAGCGAAATGACCAAATATTTTTAATGGACTTAAAAAATGGAGGAAAATTGTTCAGTTCAGACTACAGGTATACGACCCTAAATAGGTACTAAAATAAAGTTGCGTTTTTATTTCAAAAATCTCCAAATATTTGATTCAACTAATTCAAAAAACTTTGAAATCGGGTGTATAACTAGTTAAAACTGTTTTTGTAATCCAAAATGCGTTACGTAGTGGACGTGTGGGACTCCCTCGCTAACATACCTACCCAGTTTATGACCACTGAGCAGGTCAAGGCCCCCGTTCCTATTAAAAACTCCAATTGGCAGTGATACTCAGAAACCAAAACGTAGTCAACGGGTCAAGCTTGTTATAGCTAGATAGCCCGACTGAGAAAAAGAAAGTAGTTAGTTATTGAGATTTTTTTATTCATTTTAGTTTTTTTATTCATTTAAATTGTTTGTAGATATGTATACAAATATAGAAAATAATTTATATCAATCCTAAAAAATTCGTGTAAAATACAATTCAATAAAAAATTTATAAAAAGATTGATCATGTAAGACACTTTGTGACAGCGGGTGTATCAGAATCTTTATAATGTTTGGGGTCTGGGTGTGGACCAGTGCGGCTCTTTATGTCGCGAGTCAATCGCCACACTCGGCCGTGCGTTGGGGCATTGTTTTTAAAATAGCTATCATTTAACCTCCAACCATACTCCCATCCACTACACTCTTTGAAATAGTACTTCTCCTCCGGTATCGTGCGCTCCCTACTTTTTAGATACACGACACGCCCTTTATCCGGAATTTCACCGTAAATAATTTGTTTTTCTTTAGAGCAAACCGGACGCATAATTGGATCAAACGATAAATCCGTATCAGGCCGATCGAGTCTCGGATCGTCTTTAGGATCTCCGAGACCAACTTCTGGAATAGAATGACCTTTTTTCAAGTCCGCAATTCCCACTACGTGGACACCGTCTCGAATGGGTGGGCGCCTTCTGTTGAAGCTGGCGACATTATGGTCTCGTGTGATGGTTGACATTCCAGCATTCATGGTTTCCTGTAAGACGTCAGCTTCATAATAACCTTTTTCGGGACGACAAAGGGTAGCTGCCATTTGCAGTTTATCGGAATGTAAACGGTTCCATTTCATACGGAGACGTATAGTTTTGTCGTAGCTTTCAATGAAGAACTTTATTATATCGGGATTTGTTATATCTAAGAGAGGCATTTTGAATATAAATATTTAAATAACAGTTTACAATAAAAATAATCTTCTTTTATTATTAGTGACTTATCTGCGCGTTTCCAACAATTCTGTAATGAGAAGTAATTAAATTAAAATTATTTTTACGTGTATAACTGTCATTGAAATGAATGAAAGGTGGCGATAAATTTCAATAATAATCAACAAATCTCTATGAAAAATTTAAAAGACGTCTGACTTAAAAAAGTAGTTTACTTACTCTATGATTCTGATATTAAAACTTCATTTTATCCTAATCCTGAAAAAATCTATTTATCAAAAACCTTGTTTTTATTTATCATTGCACTAGTATTTCAGATCACAGAATCACATGGCTGCAATTTTTTATATGAAAAACATACCTTTGCCACATTTGATAATGATCTTTGCCGGTAGTTCATCGACCGTTAATAATACGCGGCACATAAGTTAAGCTGTTTAACACGTTAAAATAGCGATCATCCAGGCAGATTCCAGTCTCCAGTATACTGCGTTGCTATGGTTACATGCTGCGTCTCACCTCCGCACGAAAATATTCTATGCATAGACGCCATTTTGGTGCTCCTACCTGTAGGTACTACCGCAAATTTTCTCATTCGTACCATTTCACGCCTTAGCAAAACCGTGCCATCATAGATATTGGAAACATTAAATCTCCATGCGTGCCGTTTACGAGAGCGCAAATTTTATCCTAACTTAACTTGAATACATAGGCACTAATTCCGTAAACTAAATAAAAAAACAGGTACAAGAAATATATTTTATTAGCCAAACTAACACTATACCTAAAAATATATGTACAATTTAATGAAACTCCAATTTACAGATTAGTCAATCATTCAATAATGAAAGATCTATCTATCTATATCTTCACGCCGTAGATATATTTAGGAAGTGCAGCGGCGCGATGTCTTATCTATCCGTTACTAGATGACGGTCAAAACTCCATGATAGGTATACTGCGTGCGAGAAAGGGATAGTCACTGTAGAAGAAAGGAACGGGTAGCCGTTCTAAAACTTTATGGTAACGCCTCGAATATACCGGCAGAGTCTGCTCTGTTATCAATTACATCACTGGCCAACCTAGAACATTCTTGACGTGGTATCGGCCCCTAAAAAACGCGGTGGGCTAGCCGTTCCGGCATTCTTCAGCGAAAACTAGTGAAGTGAACTATCGGGACGATCGAATAGTGTTGTGAAGCGAGAGTAGTAACGTGAATTATGAAATCGAAGAAGTGTGGAAAGTAGTGTTGTTGAATTATTTTTGTAATTTTATTAAGTAAATAAAGTCGGATTGTGTATTTTATTGGCATTGATTTTTAATGTACAAAAAAAACAAATTGTTGTCTTTCCGAACTAAAGACAAAAATTGTTGTTGAATAAAAGTATTCTTTTTTTTTAATATACTTATATCAAAATTCCCATAGATTTTTTTGAAAATCTATAAATAATTTTATATTGAACTGTTTTATTGTCTTTCCCACTCTATTTCTAGATGTGAAACTCGCAAGGTTTGATAAATTATACCCACCTAGATAAAGTCACATGTAAAAATTAGGGTTAATTTTATACCGATATTTAAAAAAAAGTATTGCCGACACCGGTAACGACGCGAACAGCGAAGATTCAAAAAGGTATAAAAACTGTGGTTTACAAAAGGCGAAATTATTTATATTTGATAAAAAGTTTAGTAAAGACATATCTTAAAGACATAGATATCTTTAAGATATACATTAAATATGGCATTGTAGCGACAAATTAATATCACCGATTTCGTTAAATCGGAAAACTTTCAACATCGCCAATATATCAGTATAGGTATCAATTACATCACTAGTAAAAGTACTATGTACACACACGGCAGCACGTTACGTTACCACGATATATCATATTTCTTCAGTTGATTTCAAAGTCTATCTTCAAAACATTTAAGATTTAAAATCGAAGTTATTCTGTAGCTCTAGCGACTTCTGAGAACAACCGGAGGTTATCGCGCAATTTTGGTGTTGCAAATGCCGAGCGTTATGTTATCGCCTCTAATGCTTAGAAGTCTAAATGGATCAACAAGCGATTTTTATGTTTTGTGTTCTCAGATAACTAACTTTGCTAACGATAACAAAATAGTATGAGTACTTATGGGCACATATTTTATATGATGTCGATAATTCACATATCGATAAAATCTATCGATGTTTTCATTAAACAAAAAAGAACTGAATTTATGACTGTATATATGCTTATTTTATTATTATATTATCACAATACCAACGAAAAACACATAAGTACTCATCAAACTCCGAAGTTAACACTAAACTTCACAATATTGCCCAAACACTTGCCAAACATTTTTTTCTTTCTTTCTCTCTAACCTCACACAATGAACGACAAAAAAACAAAAATTGTGTAAGATATGCTTGTAATTTTTATTTGAGCGTAGTCATTCTACCATTTGCATAAATAATATAGAACGTTTACGCGCCATACATTCAAAGTAGACAGTGTTTCTTGTGTGACAAATAAGTGATTTTTTTCACATCGGTCCTGTTGACTCGCTCGCGGATGTGATGTGTGTACAATTTTATTCTATTCATAATAAAAAAATAATTGCGTGTTCAAAATTAATGTATAATATATTTGAGTAAATAGTCCTAATTTATATCATTGCTTATGCTACATGCTTCCTCTTGGCGGAAGGTCTGTCGAACACTTGTTTCATGCCGCCACGGAAGTTGGCTAAACGTGCCGCTGCACCTTCGTTACTCCACGCGGAATCGAACTCTGTAGTATCTTGGTCCACCAAGTGAGTATACTTCGTCCTACCCGACCGGCCGAATTTCTTCACTTGCATCACCTGACGAATATTATTTTGTTTTTACAATATAAATAGACATACATATTTCAATTTGTAATATAGTACATTATAACTATTCAATCGATATATTTGGAATCACAATGTCGATTCTAAGCTAATAATTTTAGTATATTGGCGCGAAACTGATGAAACGTCAAAGTGACAGTGACAGCTGACAGATAGGGATGCCCGTTGTGAAATCGACAATTCATTCCTTGGTACTCTGAGATGAGACAGAGTGGTTTTTTTAAGAAATTAAGAATATAACCAATATTTAGTTATTTTATCGATGATAGCACAGCACTAAACTGAACTAGTATTTCTGGAAGAATTTAACTTATAAAAATAATAAAATTCAATTACTTTAGGCAGCACAGTTTTGTCAAAGTGATCATCCAGTGTCGGCCCTGAGAAGTCTTGTTTGAACACTTCCTCTTCTTTATCCAAATAGAAGGCACCTCTGGAAAAATAAATAAATTAAAATTGTAGCTATCCTATCCAATATCAAGGAGCCTTCCTTATTCTAACAATCCCACTAAGCGAATCTAACGTTATGTTAACGAAACTGTAGTATGTATCTTACATTTTACAAAATCGATAGCTCAATGAATTTCATCCAATTGATTTTTAATATTAATGCACTAGTTAAGTACGTTAAAAAACGAAATTAGAATGTGAACCCTAATAAATAAGTTTACTATTTATTATTCCTCCTTTTTTCAAATTTTTGCATACTGATGAAATGACAATTTCAATAATTTCGATAATCAAATAATTAATTCATCACAATATATATAAATATCATTTGTAACTCTAATCTACTAACTTATACTTCAAACATAATTAAATTCAGATTGTATGAGACGGGTATTAACACTATAGAACCTAACTATCAGTTCTATCACGTTAATACTCATCTCATACAATCTAATATAATGCAACGCTAACGTTTAAACGTTTATATCATTAAATTCAGTACATTCTTATTAATTACCTGTGGTAATATTTCTGAAGGAACTTATATTTGCCCTTGACTGCTTTATTGGTGACTAATTTTGGATTGAGACGTTGTTCTACGCGTCTCTCCTCTTCGGTCATATTGCGCATACGTTCAATTGCAAGCAACTCCTTCTCCATACTGAAAACCAGTAAAATGGATCATAATTTATATGGGACACTCTGTTTTACCATCCTGTGCAATTTTTTTTATATAATCGATATTTTGCTACATAAAGTTCATTAATTTAACAACAACAAATTTAAAAAACAAATTTGCTTAATGCCATCGTCAAATAGGATTATGTAAATCCTTCTAAATTTTAAATGCAAAAGTTTGTGAGGATGTAGGTATGTATATTTCTCTTTCACAGAAAAACGAACTTTAATGAAACGGTACTGTATGGTACTACGCGAGTGAAGCTTATCCCTACATGATACTGTGACACCTATGTTATATATAATTCTTGTTAATATATTTTGTTTTATTGGTAAGCGTCAGTGTCACTAGCACATAAAATTATTCAATAGCCAAGTAACACATATGGTTGTCTGGCTTTCCGGGCGGAAGCAACTATTTAAGGGTTTGAGAGCATTAACCCCTATTTAACTCTCCTTAGTGTGACATTACATATTGAGTAATTTTTCACAAGAAACTACTACATTAAAACAGCAATTTCACAAGTTCTATTTCCATTAAAAAATATATATTATCAACATCTAAAAAAGTTTAATATCAAGTCATTACAATTTCGTATCATAAAATTTACAACTGTTCTCTTTAACATTTAACAAAAAAAATGAAATTGGGCAAGTCATGTGCTTACGACATGCATTGATGTAAGGGAGGTAAGAGAAACAGATGTGGCTAGATCATATATATGATTGGGTAAAAGTGTTTGGGACAAACTGGGGTGCTTTAAGTTGAATAACATTTATATAGATTTTATAGAACCTAGTCCTAGTAGCAGAAGTTGAACCATTCGTAATAATTTTCGCCATGTTTATTTATGTAATTTGCAGACTTACGCTTCTCTCTCCTCTTTGTCACGTTTTATCCTCCTCATTTCCCTCAGTTTCCATGCCTCATACTCAAGTTCATCATTTTCATCATCTGTGCACACATCATTTATATTGCCTTCTTTTTGCTCTCCCTGTAATTACAAAATATTTTATAAATTGACAGATCATGTAACAAAGAAAAGCTCTTGTTTCTCATTAACTAATTTCGAAAACATCCCATTAATTCTTGTTGCATTGAAAATTACATAATTTTGTGGCTAGAATTAAATCAACAACATAAAATTTATTAGATTTAATTCTAACATTAAGGCTATTCAGTAGTGGAGAATAAATTGTGAAATTTGACAAAAAATTTAATCAACAGTGAAATAAACATAACACTCAATCGTAAAATTACATGATTTTCTAGTTAAATTATAATTATTTTCTAACACATCCTCAGTTGGCATTATTCTTGCCTTATTTATATCTTTTCGTGACAGATTGCCAGTTGATACTGTTTTTGTTTGATTAATATCTTAAATATATTATATTACATGTATCAGTTTTGTGTGTATACAATACAAAACTGAATAGTGAGTAAAAAGAGTTTTAATTATTATTAAGGCAAATAAAACTAATCATGATTGTAGTTTTTTCCAAACAGAGTATAATACTCTATTAAATTAACTACATCTTTCATAACCAAAGTGAACAAAGAAGAATAATCTACATATTCTTTAATTGTAATCTGAAAGTGTAACCTGCATATTCTTTTGTTCCGATCGAATTGTCTCTTCTACAAGTTTAAGAGCTTCCCTCCTTCTTTCTTCTTTTTCTTTTCTAGCCTCAGACTCTTCCTTCTTTTGCTGTTTTAGCTTGCGCTCTCGTTCAGCTACAGTCATTCTTTCTGATGCTCTAACGAAAACAGGCTTAACTCTTGGACCTGTTCCGAAGTAATATAAATATCATTGATATTGAAAAACAGTAAAAATTAAATAATAAAACTAAATATTTTGAATCATGTTTTAGTAATGATTACATTCATATTATATATCAAATCGAAGTCTTACATTGATGCCATTCTTTATAAATTTATAGTGTTTAAATTTATAAAGAATGGCATCAATGTAAGACTTTGATTTGATTTTCTGCTTTCTGCTCAACTTTCAGGTGGGTTTTGAATATTTCAATGTACAAACAGAGACTGTGTTACTTGCTTAATTATATGTTTGTATTCCATCTTAACAATTAAAAACATAGCATACTATTAACCAATCATAGTCTATGCTTAGTTTTTTTTTAAGGAGATTGGTAACTCCATTGATATGATGAAGAGTAAAATTACCTGTATCTTCTTCACTATCTGTATATTCTGTGTCTGACGATCCACTGTCTTCTTTATCACCATCTAACATTTCTTCATCATCATCTCGTCCAAGTACTTCTTTTTCAGCTTCTCTGTAAAAGGTATAAGACAGATAAGTATGACAGGTCAGCCAACAATGGGAATTTATGTCAAATCTTTTGTTTTAATATCATCTTGATTTCTAAACATAATTTATGTATATTTTGTGGCCACATTCCACTTTAATCAGAAAAATTAACATATCCATGACACAAAAATATTTGTAACTTAAAAACAAAATTAATTAAAATTATACCTAGCAGCAAGCTTAGCCTTTAATGCCTGTCGGCGTCTTTCTATCTCATCATCGTCAAGTTCATCTTCACTCTCTGAACTATCTCTCATTTCATTTGCACTCGACTCAGATTCCTGTTCTGGTTCTGCATCAATAATTTCTGGTTTATGTTCAGCTCGACGTGATGGAGAACGAGCTGCAATACGTAGCCGACGGAGTCGAGGATCATCCACCTAAAAACATTACAACATATATGACAATAATGTATATCTTAATTTAACTAAATTGTTGAAACATTTCATACAAAAATTAAGGTAGCTTACTACTGTATAGTTTTTACATGACTGTCCAAAAAAGAAGCGTATTGTTTAGCATAGACCAAATAACACCAAAGAAATATATTAACTTAAGTCTTTATACAATAATCGAAAATAAACAATTTATTATATTATGGCCTTGCTTCATTATACACAAAACATCGGCTAACATAGAGCAGTGAGAGACATAGAAGACTAGAAATTGAGCAGTAGCTAGTTTTACCAATTGCTTTCTTGAGGTCGTTCTTTCTCTGCCCATAAAGACAACAGAAAAACAGACATCACAGACAGACATTTAAGAATCAACCAATAATACACACCTCCTTCTCGGAATCTGAATGCTCCTCATGTTTGTGTGCAATTATTTGTGGCAAAACTTGTTGTCTACGTTCTGGTCTTTGCTGTTCAATAAAATCTTCAGCATCTGATTCTTCAGACGATGATACACCCTGCGCATAGTCTGGTTTTTTTCCTGATATATACCTTTGCACTTTAACTTTTTGCATAGATATCTCACCTAATAAGGACAAAAAAATTGTTGAATATATTCTTAGCCTAAATACAATTATAGAAACAATGACTAGTCTAGTCTTAAATGAACATTCACCCTTTTCATTTCGAATAGGCACAGCTCCTGCAGTACTTTGTATGCCAATAGGCTGAGCAGGTAAGACATTCATATTGATGTAAAACTATACAATATACAAAATTCTATCGAAACTGACTCCCGTTTCCAAATGTTTATATTACTATACAAAATTACAAAAAACCATTCGCAAACAAAACCACCAATATTAGTAGTAGTATTATAATTCGTCCATGGGACAAGCGAAGGAACTAAGCCATACAGCCAAATCTTGGACCACCAATATTATAATAGAATAATAGTATAGTACTACTTTTAATAATATTTTTGGCTTGGATGCAGAGTTCTTTAAGCCAAACAATAGTACACAAACTACATAGGCAATAGTACTACTTTTCCAGTATAATACACAGATTATACAGATTATATTGTAATCTTTGGCACTACCACAGACTTAGCAGGTATTACTACCCATAGAATCTTAGAGTAAGTACTTAAAGAGTGCTATTAGGCGTGCCACCGTAAGGGACAACAAATAAATCATCAGTGTTACTAGATAGTTAAATGTTCCTCGATTATGGGGAGATATTTTGTTATTAGCAAAGGAGGAATAATTTAGTCAGCATAATATGTAGAAATGTTCAGAAACTATCTACTTTTCTGCGATTTCACCAAATTATAGCTGTAGTCAACCACGTATGATGTAACTTCCCATGGATGAAAGGATTAGTAATAGAGGAACTTTTTTTTGTAGAAATATTGATACACTATCTATCATCTTAAATTAACTAGCAAATTGAATCAATGGGCTTGGTTACTGAAGTTTTCGAAATAAAATTAAATTTTACTAAATTAGAATATGCTCAAAAAGTCTAATTTAGACAAACAAAACTATTTTGAAATTTTAATTCAACCAAAATTAAAAAAATATATATATAGACAATAAAGAAAACCGTTTAAAGGAGAATAACGTACCTATTCAATGATAAAATTATGTTTAGAAAAGCAAATAAGAAACATTGTGATGATTTTGGGCTAACGTCAGTCCAGCAGCGCCACTGTATTTTTACTCAATAGCTGTTAGAAAGACCATTTTTTAAAACCTTGGGTTATTTTAGAATGAAATAAAACATTGAAACTATTGACACATGTTGATATTTCGTAGATCTTAGTAACCACAAAGTATTTTATCATTCTGATTAATCCAATCGAATATTTTAGTCTCATATTTAGTGACGAAATACTAATAAATAGATATCCAGAATCTTAATAATTATTGATCGAAAACAAATATGTAAGCCTGCAGAGATATTTGACTTTGATCAGTAATTACTCAGATTCTGGATTTCATTACTTCAAGACAGTATTAGCAGAGCACGTATTAGTGTTTTCGAGGTATGAGCGTTTGTGCACCACTGCCGTCGTATCCGTTATCCTGGTCGATTTCATAAAGAGACTTGACGGTTTTCGTTAGTCCACCACGTTTCTTATCTCAAACTAGAATATCTATAAAATAGCTATTGTCACGCGACATCGCTTGTGTAAACTGTAGCCTATGTCAACTGCGTATGGTGTAGCTACCCGTATGTGAAAGAGTTTTTAAAATCGGTTCAGTAATCTTAATAAAAATGCTTAAAAACCACTTTGTCCCTGGTAGTTTAAGATTGATCAAATATAATAATCGGTCCAATGGTTTCGGAGCCTATTCGGTGTAAAAAATAAACAATAAAACCTTTAATTTTTATAATATTTAGTATAGATAAATAAACATTCAACATCACATACATGGCTCATATTGTAAGATGTATATTTTGGAGTACTAAACCCCGTATTTTGAAGTATCTGTGACAACAAAGGTACCATAATACTCAGAACTCACAGACCCCAGACAATAAAGGAAAGTTAATTTTCAACATTTTTGGTTTTTTAATAATAAAAATTAGTGTAAATCATTACACCTGCAGACCTATTTTAATCTATTCTGCCGATGTACGCTGTTGAGTGTGTGAGATTTATTAAGAGCTATGACTTATTAGAAAAATCAATTAATAATTATAATGAAAATAATTATCAATTACTAAACCAATATTAAATAAAGTTACAGGTTGGGTGAAATCAAAGAGGGTACTAAAATAAAAAGCATTTTACTTCGTTTCCACAAAAATTTTACAAATAATTAAATATATCACATGTATTAATCACATATTGAAAATAGCAATTATGCTACTTATAAGTTAAAATAAACTTACTCGATCACAAAAAGTAAATAAATTGTCTACTTAACTGCAGCAAGTACACCAGAGTAATTAATCTAAATAAGTATTCGCCTAATACAATTAATACTATATAATGTTAAAAATATTTAAAAGCCATTAAACAAAATTTGAATACTTAATACATACTATTATAAATTAAAATTGGCTTTTATTTGGTTATCCAATCACAAATTAGAGCACAATTTACTTTGTTACAGTGAATTCTAATCACACAAAAGATTTTTAAAAATATGAAAATGAATGATAATATACAGTAAAATGATGCATTATTATTATATTTTAATACAAAATAAAAAAAACATATTTTAGTGAGCTTACAATACTCTTAAATCATAGATAAGAATTCTTAAAAAACATAATAACCAATATTATTTCACAATATATTTTGTAGCATTTCTTTATTATAAAGATACAAACAAATCATAATCAGTGTATTTCTAAAAGAATAGCACAGATAATATTTGAAGATTAGATTATGGCACAAATAAGTTATAATATTTATGAAGAATATGATCTGTGGTTCTGTCTACACAACACTATATAATAACCGATTTGCGACTAAATTATGAACATCTCATAATTTTATACAACAATTATGGCATGGTAAATAAACATTACTTAACAAGTGCAAAAAAACTATAACTCCACGAACAAATCAAATATTTAAACTGACATAGTATTTAAAATTTCCTAGCAAGTATAGAGATATAGGATTAATTTTTAATGAAGGCAATTCTTATTTAATAATAACATTAAAAGTTTAAAACTTAGACTATCAGTATCTAGTATAAATTATGTATATTTTATTTTTCAAAAAGTCCAGTTTAGATTCTCAATCTAAAAAGGTTTTACATGGTTAATTAATATTGTATGAAACCAACAAAATAATACTAACATACAATATCTTATAGTTTCAGACTTTTCTATACTTACCATTCTTATTGTTACATTGTGTATATCCCTTTGAGGAAGGTATTATAAAAGTGGATTTATTAAGAAACAAAAATACCTCACTTGTATAATAAGTATTTAACTATTATATCTATTTAATAAAATCCTTATTATGTACTCAATGTTGTTTGTCTTCCTACATTTAAAAATAAATGTTTTTCAAAATGCATTGAACACACCCTGGCATGCCTTGAAGGCTTACAATTTGGTCTTCCGCAAGCTTCAATCCAATTTTGAAATTCAGTTTCATTTATCAATCAATTTTGAAGTTCATGTTCATGTGATGAAAATCTAAAATATAAACACAATTACTAAAACACTTTTTTTTAATATAAACTTTTAATTTGGAAAATTGAGGTCATCATTATGATAATAATATGATTGTCATAAGGAATAACAATATTTTATGAAGAAAAAACACATTTGGCCGAGATTTATTGATAAAATTAGTTATATTATCTACTATAAACTCAAACATTTCTAACCAAATACATAGCACAATTTTTAGTGATTCTAAATACAGAAATGATATTTAATAAAGTCTAGAAAATGTAATTTAACATTACATTACAGAAAATTAAGCAGTATTTTAATAGTATCATGCAAAACTTTACTGAGAGGCTTTAAATGCTAATATTTTAGGTTACAACCTTGGATTTATTTTAATACAAAGTTTAAAAACTGCCCAATTGTTTTTTTAAATCGTATTTTGTAGTTCTATGTACTTTGAAAATAGTTGAGTTTCAAACATTTTGATATTTGTTCAACAGAATATTGACAATTTAATTTTAAAGCACTTTGAGGGGAGATTTTAAGCACTTAGATGTCAGCCTTAATGATTTGAGGTTATATTCTTATTCGACTTATTTAATAATATATTTAGCTTGTTTTGTGTCGTATTTAATAATATCCACATCGGTTATGCCATTGAAAAAAATTTCTCTTACGAAGAAATAAACAAAATGCTTCTAACTTACCTGAAATATGATAGACCTACAATATTTCATTCGGATCTATTTTTGCAAGATATAACACTGCACTTAACCATTATTTTAATTTGCAAGTAAAGTTTCTTTCATATAAACTTTATACATTATATAAAACATTGTTTAAATACACTTCTTTCCAACTTTTTTTGTATATATTTGAGTCCAACAATTTCTATGCCTAAAATCTTGACGTTTTGGTGCCAAACAAGCCTGGTGCCAAACAAAAAAACCGGCACGTCGATAAGGACAACAAATAATGTTTTTGTCTCACTTTAACTAATGAAAATTGTAATAAGTCATTTCATTTCCTGATGAATGAGATAGAACATACCATTAGTCTATTGCTTTCTCTGTCTACGCATAGAATTAATAAGTACTACGTACAACTGGAATGCTAACTGCGATCTTTTTGACATATCAAAATGAACCTTAATAATATGTAAATAAAGTGTTTTTTAAATAACCATTATCTACATAGAGAAATGAGCTCAAGTGAGACATCTTTTTTCTTGGTGTGTCTCTGTCGCACAATTGCCATGTGAAATATCGTTGATATAAAGGTGGTAAATTCGTGAAAACTGTTTACACAGAACAAAACGTTTTCTATATGAATATTATATTTGGCTTGTTTATAAGTTTACTAATAATATAAATGCAATAGCTTTTAGGTCCAGATAAATCAAAGTTTTTACATTTCAAGACATTTCAATATTGTAGGCATGTTTTATTACCTTTACGTTATACGACACTAGGTAAATTGAAGTATTGACGTGGCACCACAAAAGCAACATGGCGTTTTCTTTTTTGTGATATGGACTTGTTTTTAATGCTCTCTGAATTAAAAAAGTGCTTTAAATAGTATATTAGATTGAAAAATGGTAAACAATATATGTGCTGTGAGTGGGTATGGGAAAGAATCGTACCTGGCTGTGGATTATCTTTTCAGAGGTAAGTATGTCATCAGTAGAAACTAGGGTGACTATACTTTACGTATAGAGATGTAA